ATAAAATCATTGGGTAGAGCTCATCGAGTTCTACTTGGAAGAAAAATAGTAGCTTTGGAACAAGTTCGTGGGTGAATCGGGCAGGATTTACTCGAATCTCGGGCCAACTTCACTTACGTGAAATTTTCACAAAACTAGCCGAAAAATGACCAAAGCGAAAGTTTTATCGCATTGATAAATTAGAATTCAAATTTTAGCTAATGTTATATAGGAGTAGCCAAAAAAGCGGTAGCGAAAATTTTTTGGTAGTGGTAAATTATAATTCAAATTTTGGCTGCTTTTGTATAAAAATATTCTAAAAAGCCAAAGTGAAGATTTGATCTCAATTATATATTATAGTTCAAATTGTAGAATATCGTGCTTTGTATCATAGAAGAGTATGAGCATTTTTCGTGATCTTTATCGCATCGTATTCCAGTGGGCAGAAAGCTCATTCTAAAAAGCCTTGTATTTTGATTGGTCTTTTCAAGATCAGGGAGCGAAAAAAAATCCGGTGGAGAAAAAGTCAGAGAAAAAATAGCGAGCGAGAAAAAAAAGACAATGATAGCAGAGTGAGAGAAAGGAAATAGGAGAGAGGAGAGAGAAAATAAGGGGAAGAGAGAAAATAAGGGGGAGAGAGAAAATAAGGGAGAGAGAGAGAAATTAGGAGGTGATAGACTGAAATTATAGAGCGAGAGAAGGAGAGAAAATAAGAGCAAGAGAAGCGCAAGAGCTACAGGTATAAAAGCGACGAACAATGTTGATAATTTCATTTTTCGGTAGTAAATATTATAAATCAAGCAAGTAAAAGGTAAGTGCTGTGTTTGCGCTACTTACACTTTCATCATACTTTTTATTATTCACAGTGACACTGTACTTCGTATTACTTATAGTGTCATAGTACTTTTTATTACTTAATTCGTCGTAGTACTAGTTCGTGTGGAATTTTACTTATTTCATTTCTCAAGGCTAGATTCGAACTTTTTAAGTTAAACCCTTCTTTTTTTTCGACTTGTCCGAACCCGAAAACGAGTATACAAATCACTTGACCATATATGTCAAACTTGGAAGTTGAATTCAACTCTTCAATACATTGAACAATCGAATAGTAGAACTTCAACTATTCAATAAATTGAATGATTGAATGGTTGAACTTCAACTATTCCACAACTGAATAATTAAATAGTTGAACAGTTAAACTTCAACTATTCGGATACTTTAATAGATGAATAGGTGAATAGTTGAACTTCAACTCTTCCATAATTGGATAATTGAATGGTTGAACTTCATTTATTGATTATTCAATTCTGGAATAGTTGAAGTTCAACTGTTCACTTATTCAAGTATTCAAATAGTTGAAGTTGAAATACCCAACTATTCGATTATTTCAACACAAGTGCATATCATCGCACCTAATGCTGGTGCCGCGAAAGGACTTCAGGGAGAGAGAACATACACAAGAACACAAATAATTGAATAGCTAAATGTTTGAACTTCATAAGTGAAAAGTATTTTTTTGAGAAGTACCTAATAGTAGCCTTCTATGCTATGTACTTACAGTAAATTTTCTTTAGAAATACTTAATAGTACTTTTCAGTACCACGTACTTAAAGCGGCTTTAAGTAATAACTTCTCGATGGTAGTTTTCTATGCGACATACATAAAGTCACTCTTCTACGAAGCACTCCAAACTAATACTTGGAAAATGCATAATCGAAAAGGAGTTTCTAGTAGTACAGCACAAAATAGTACTTAAAAAATGAGATTTAGTTTGAAATACTCTCAAGCAAGTAATCTTGATACTACTTTTAGCAATTAAGTGAAATATATTTCTTGGCGAAATAGCGGTGAAGTAATGTTAAGTGCTTATTTGATGAGAAAATTTTTAAACTAGTAAGAGAAAGCGCTTTGAAAATCTGAAAATAGTGGAAAAAATGTAAAAGTCCACACTTTTGACTTTGTTCCTGGTGATAATGCTTTTTATTGAAAATTCGTCACTCACTTTTACAGGAGTACAAACTATTGATGCTGTTGAAAAGTGTATCTATTTCGAACATCCAAACGGAAGATGCCATTTCATGGGCTTTTTGGACTTATAGCATAGCTCTCAAAATGGGCGCATATTTATCTATGTATATTGCATTCTTATTAACACTTTCAATTTAAACATACTTTATCACAACTTGATCTGAAACAAACCTTTTTCACGACTGACAGAAAAACTGAGTTTAAAGCATTACAATATTTTAAACAAGATAAACTAATGAGTGAAAAAGTACCGTTAACCATGGCATTTCACTGCTGCTAATTCTATCATATTGAAAAAAAAACTTGAGATGTTAATGTTCCGATGGAGTACTATTAAGTACATAGGCGCTCTCAGTAAGCAACTCAAGTACTTTTGAAAGTATAAAGGTTAATATAATACATTGCTTGATTTGGAAAAGTACTATTGAATAGTTGCAAACAAATTCAAAGTGCTTGTAATTGCTTCGTGGTACGCCAAAAGTACGGTAAAGTATTTCAGAAAGTAAAAAATAATAATCCAACACGCCCATGATTTGGAAAAGTACTATTAAGTGCTTCTTTTATTTGTCAAAATGGCATAAAGCACTTTAAAAAATGTAAAAAGTGATTATATGGATTTAAGAAATGTGAGAAATACTAATAGCGAGTACTTTTAAAACACTTAAAAGCCCTACAAATTATTTCTTTATATGTCAAAAGTACAATAAAGCACCTTAGAAAGAATAAAAATCAATAGATTAGACTTCATGATTTCAAAAGGTACTATTTAGTACTTTTAAACAGATGAAAGGTATTTGTTGTTACTTCTTGGAAACTGAAAAATACAATAAAGTACTTTCGAAGATGTATGAATATGAATTAAGAAAACATGCTTCATGTTTGGAAAAAGTACTATTCAATACTTTTAATAAGATAAAAACTACGTGCATTTACTTTATACGCAAGAAGTACAATAAAGTGCTTTAGGAAGTATTAAAAAACCATATAATATACTTTATGATTCTGGAAAGTACTATTAAGTACTTTTCAAAAAATCAAAAGTACTATGGATTACTTCTTTATACGTGAAAAGTGTAGTAAAGTACTTTAGAAAATGTAAAAATTAATATAATACACGTCGTAAATGAAACAGTCCTATTAAGTTTTTCTAAAAGTGCAAAAAGTACTGAAATTCAGTAGAAAAAGTGAAAATTTGTAAGAAAATTTAATTTACTTTACTTTATTAGTATTGAATGTACTTAGTAGTACATTTTTTTTACTTTTTTTTTACATTGGTAACTTAATGTTGATAATGTAATCTTTAATACTTAATACTTTCTATGATTTCTAGCTATCGATCGGATGAAAATGAGCTATCACTATAAATCACTTCTCTAACAATGGAGGTGTGTGTGTTGATAAGCGAAAAGATGGCACATATTTGTGTCAAATGAAAGCTCTCATTGCCAAACTAACAAGGTTAAAATATTAGCTGCCCATGGCGTCTCTAGAGAGAGATATTCAATTTTTACGGTACTCAAAATTTGGATATATAAGAATATTATGAATTATTTACATTAGGTTTTCATGCCATGAACTAAGTATTTCAATAATAGACAACAAGAATTTTTCTGAAGTTTACCAATATCATTAATATCACATTAATTTCGATAACTTCTATAAGCTAAGTAGTATCGAAATATTGTATATGAATATCAGCTAGTAGTGATAGAAGCATTTAACTCATCAATAATTTCAATTTTATTTCAACTAAAAACAACATACTATTTAATATACTATTTTAACTAATGTGTTATAAGTGCAGATGTAGATCTTCAATCAAATGATAGTAGCAAAGAGCTTTTCTGCACCAGGCACACATTAATAGCGTTCTTTCATTGCAATTGTTAGTTGAACAGTATAGATCATAAAACTTGAAGCAAACATCTTTTGGCTTTTCAATCTGTCCAATTGTTTCTTTTATTATTTGAGCTTGTATAAATCCATTCTTAATGAGATTTTTGAATTGTGGAGCTGATAATTGATTGTGAATAACAGAATGTATGTTGATGAAATATTGACGATCACTTATGATCATTTCTACTTGATTGATATGGGCGTGCTCAACCATATGATATCCCATTTCATATTTGAATATGTGGCTTCATCCACATATCAGAAAAACGTGATCTTTTTACCAGTTATAGTACACATAAAGTACTAAAGATCTGTCATTGTTTAAGCTCTATCTCTCACTAGAATCAGGGATTAACAAGTATTTCCTTATAAACATTTTGTTAAGATACATCGTATCTAATTTGTTCACATACACCTAGTTTCACTTGGCATATTTTGGGTAGTGGAAAGTTTTCTACTATGGTTTTACTAATTGCATGAATATTGTAATAAAAAGAATTTTTACTCAGCAATTTATTCAAACGTTATTAACAACAATATCTAGACTGATACACATTCATACCTGCTTAAGCATGTATTGTGCCTATCACAAACGCATATCATTCCCCGTGAGACACTAGAAGGAGATGGTACTTTTCCTTTTTTCCTTTTTTTCTTTTTTCTCTTAACTTTATCTTATTCTCGGTGCATATTTTGTACACAACAGTAATTCATCCATTCTATTGTATCTTGTATTTCAGTTACATTATTCTTGTTCTAACTCGAATCGATTTTTCCTCGCTTTTGTTCCCTCTGCTTTTTCTTCAAAATATTTTCATTCAAATATAAACACTTTAATCTTTGCATTATGTTCTTTCCACAAATTGAATGGAACTGCTCTCAATGTCGATCTGGTGTAACTGATCGTCAAAAATATTGCTCCAACTGTCACTCGATGTTAACCTACACATGTATCGAATCAGGGAAATCTGTTTTATACACGAACTATTATCGGCATCGTGACAGCTGTATTTATTGCACGTCAGAATTCGAAGAAGACAGACCACAGAAAGTGGTAGAGAAACAAGTTGCTATTCAACAATTTCAAACTTTAGATGATGGTAAGTAACATTCGTTCTCTCAGTTTACAAGTATGCTTCCCATTTCATTATTTTGTGTCACAAGAATATACAACAACGAATCGCTGATACACTTTTTTGTTTGCATTTTGTAGAACAACGCCCGTGGTCTCAATGGAGTCGTACTGATGAATCTTGTCTACAACATACCGGACATGATCTTGAACAAGTACAAGAGTTATATTCAATGTGTGAACAATCACTTATAGTCTACTGCTACCACTGAAACAAGGAATATTCGAATAGTACCAGCAAACCATCTTTATTTCTTATGAATTTGCTTGTGGTTACGTTATGGTACTTAAAGCATTATCATGCTGAACGTTATATTGCTACCGAATTTGATCTGAGTCCATCAACGATGCATCATATTTTATCAAAGGTTGTGGATATCTTACATTCATGTGTATATCCAGAACTAATTTCATTACCTGCTCTTATGTTCAACAGAACTACAGCACATGGACCTGAAGAACATCATAAATTAGTAGTTGATTCAACTTCTATCGCCGTTCCGCAATCTGATAATTCACAACAACGTAAAGCATATTTCCATTCGAAAAACGCAACAAATTATGCATTTCAGCTACAAATAGCTTGTGACTTTAATCATTGAATAGTACATGTACCCGAATGTTATCGTGGAAGTGTACATGATATTACAATTCTAAGAGAGTCATGTCTATTAGAACATGTAAACGACTCTGTGCAAATTATTGCCGATAAAGGATATGTTGGTGAAGATTATGTAGTAACTACAAGAAAGAAACTACATGGTCGTGAATTAACAGATGAAGACAAAGCTTTCAATCGTGTTATTAATAGTGCAAGAGCAGCTGTTGAAAATATTAATCAACGTCTTAAAACTTATGCAATTCTTGGTGGTATGTACAGAGGAGCTATTGATGATTTTGATAAGATTACCAAGATCGAACAGGTCGTCTGTGCTTTATGTAATCTAAATTAAGTAAACATCCTATTCGCAAATAGAGAACGTGAAAAGTTATCTATCCTTTTGATTAACTATTTGAAAATAAAGCTTTGTTTCAAATACCCTAAGTTGGTTTAATTTTCTACGTAAGAACTGATGTACGTTAAGAGATTAGATGTGAACTACTTTAACAAAATGTTTATAAGGAAATACTTGGTAATCCCTGATTCTAGTGAGATATAGAGCTCGAACAATGACAGATCATTAGTACCATATTTGTACTATAACTGGTAAAAAAATCACGTTTTTCTGATATGTGGATGAAGCTACATAATCAAATATGAATTGAGGTATCATATGGTTGAGCACGCCCATATCATACTTTATCATCCGAACAAGATGCTATTCAGTACTCCTATAAATATTAAAAATAGTTGTGATTACTTCCTCAAAACTCAAAATTACAATAAAGTACTTTAGAAAGTATACGAATTGATACATTATACATGATGATTTGGGAAAAGTATTATCAATAGCAAGCACTTTTAATTACATGGGAACCGCTTCTTATTACATTTTGGAAACTAAGTACAATGAAGTACCTTAGAAAATATAAAAATCAATATATTATAATTGATGATTGAGCAAAGTACTATGAAATACTTTTTAGCGTATCCAAAGTACTGGCGATTATTCTTTGTGAACTCACAAGTGCGAGGAAATATTTTAGATAGTATGAAAATTAATATAATATACTTCGTGATTTAGAAAAATACTATTAAGTATTCTTAAAAGATTGAAAGTACTAAGATTTACTTCCTTATGTGCAAGAAGTACAACAAAAGTAATTCAGAAAGTGTAAAAATTAATATTATTTACTGCATGATTCTAAAAAGTACTATTAAGCACTTTAAGAAGGATCCAAAGTCTTTTTTATTACTTTTTCATGGCTCATAAGTATTATAAAGTGCTTTATAAGCTGTAAAAATCAACATAGTTCATTTGATTTATTCGATAGTATTTTTAAGTACTTCTAAAAATGACAAAAGTCCTAAAGATTACTAGAAAAAGTAAATAATAGTAAGAAAACTTAATTTATTTTACTTTTTTGCTCATGAAAATACTTAAAAGTGGATATTTTTCACTTTTGTTGCTACATGAGATTATATTCCAAATTCTTACTAAACATTTTTTAGAATTGCTTTAAGAAAAACCTAACAAAGATCCTTGAATTATTGCAAACATCATCGTTTTCTCAATCATGTTTACTTTACTTCATCAAATTGCTTCACCAGCACGTGAACCGCTCAACAAAAATGTTTTCTTAATTGATTAGAAATATATATCC